CAACCCCATGTGACAAAGTAGAACTGCCCCATAAGGTTTTCTAGGCTATAATCTTTACAAGAGAAGATCTCCAGGTCTCTTTTCCTGAGGAGCCACTGGGTAGGTTCGAACCCTTCAGTTAGCAGCAGAGCACTTACCTGTTGTACCACCAGAGCTCCTTTAAGGCGCTTAAGAGCAACATGTGGCTAGAACTGGCCACCAGATGTGACAGCGCAGCTCTAGACATACAACAATTTACTTGCAAGCACAGGCTTTGGAAGGCAAAGGAAACTAACACTTACTGAGCCCCTCACAGTTTCCAGATACTGTGCTTGGTACTTCACATGCAATTCGCACTGAATCCCACTGCAGCCTCTCAAGGTAGCTATTATTATGCCTATTTTACAAATGAAGGGACTGGGGTTCAGAAAGGGTCAAGTAACTTGCCCAAGGTCACATAGTAAGTCTGGCTGCAAAGCCTTATTTCTTCATCATACTGCCTCCCCTATCCTTTCTTCCTCCCTTCAGCCCATTATATACTAGCTTTTACACTGAAGTATTCAAATGTATAGGCTCTTTTGGAAGCCTTTGGTTTGGCCTCAAGGTCTGGTGGAATCCCTGGAGTGTTGACTCCAGGCAAGCACCTCTTGGTTAAGTGGTTGGTTTCTTCTGACCTCAGACTGGCCTTTCTGGTCCTTTTTGGCTTATAACACATTCCCTCTCCTGGCCAGGAAGATTCCCCCCAGGGTTCAGTCTTTCCTGCACAGCCTGCCCTGTTGCCACCCCTTTTCCCTACCTGGTCACCTCTAGGAGGCCCCTTGTTTGATGAGCCTTCCACCTCCAGCCTCGTCTGGACCCAGTCTTTCTCCTGACCCCTCTGCCTCGAGAGGCTGCAACTTCTCCTTAAGACTCTCTGCCTCACACCAGCTTTCCCCAGTGCTCCAACCCACTTTCCCACCATTTCTTATTCCAAAACTCTTGTCTTCATCACAAAAGGAACTTGCCTGCCCCACGTCCTCTTTCCTGACAGAGGGAAGCCTCCAGGTCTCTGATCATTTGCGGAGGAGGAATAGCTGATACACTTGGGGCCCAACTGACGATTAAGCTTTCTGGTGAACTGTTTAACCTCCTTCCCTCAAGTTCTTAACAATGACACATCCCTCAGGTTCTCCTTAAAGGAGATGTTTCTCATTTTTCTATTATTACAGAGTTGAAACTTCAAAAGATCTTAGACATACTTTTTTTTTTTTTTTTTAAAGGGATATAATTTCCAGGCAGGTAAGAGAAAGGTCACTGTCTCAGATTTCCCCCTTCCAGAATGGAAAATAATTTTTTTTCCCAAAGTCTGTGGCTATTGATTTTTAATAAGTACAGCCTGAGTACTTCTTTGTCTTCTGTTCTCAGCATTGCTGCGGTGAAGGTCTCGGGGCTTCAGCAAGATGAGTGGGGCTGCTTCTGTTTCTGCAGGCATTGGGGTTTCTGTAAACTGCTGCTGGTAGAAACACTTATTCAAAAGAAAC